AAAAAAAAGAAAAACCTAAGTTATTATATAACTATAATACTATATATATAAAAATACGAAAAATTTCAATACTATAAAGTGGTGAAAAAAGAGGACCAATATATCTATAAATATAAAAAAGAGGGAGAGCATCTAATAAAATGAAATTATTAGTTCGAACAAAAATTAGTAACCAAGGCTGAATCTTCAGTAAAATGATGAAACCTTTTCCTCATATGGAGATTGTAATGCAAGTCCAAATTAAAATTCCTAGTGGCTGACCGTTTAAGTTGACGAGGCGCCTGATGAGTAACATATTCCGGTTCATATAGTTTATTATGCCGTACTGTGAGAGCAAGATGGAGACCGCTTTCGTCCATTGTTTCTTCTAAAATTTGTAACTGTTTGATATTGAAATCAGGATCGGTAGCGCGACCTTTTTGTTTCTTTTTTCCTTTTGTCGGAGGTAAGGAAGATGATGCAATAGGAGAATGTTGTCGTCTCAAGTATGTGTGATAATCATAACAAACGTTTTGATAATGAGTAAGAGCGATAGTCAAATTATCGCGATAGAGAGCGATTTCAGTAGTAGTCTTCCCATTGAACTTTCAAATCATCGATGCATGTCACAAGTTGAGTTTCGCGATCTCGTGTAGCTTTATAGCTCTTATTGCAGCAATCCACTGTTTACTACCCACTGTTTACTACCCACTTGTCTTGTAAGGGTCGAAGGGTTTTCTTTTCATTATGAGATAACGAAGAATGTAGCTTGCCATCCTTATAGATGGGCTCTTCGAGAACAAACGGATAGGAACGGGATTAGAAACCGTATTAGCTTTATCCGATTTTTTTTAGATTTCTTGGTCGTGGCGACTTTAATAGCCTCAATTTCAATAATCAACTGTTTGCTACCAACTTTCAACGGTTGAAGATTTTTCTTATCTTTCTTAGATAATTTAGAATATGTAAGACCACCCTTGTAGATAGGTTCATCAGGGATAAATGGGATAAGATGGAGGGGAAATTGACCATCTTTCGAAGTAGTATTAGATGAAGAAGA